CTCATGCAGTATCCAGTATTTCCCTTTATACTTTCCGACTATACTAATGAAACATTGGACTTAAACGATCCATCTGTTTATAGGTAAAAATATAATGGCTTGCCTTTTAAAATGATTTACTAGATATATCACTTTCTGTCAAATTCACATAATGGTAGTGATAAAAACCCTCATTAGACTGCATTTGTTGTGTTCCTTATGTTCTGGAATTGACAAATTATAATATTGGTGTAATTTCAGAAATTTGATCAAACCAATAGCTGTACAGTCAAAGGAAAAGGAAGATCGTTACGTGGACACTTACAAGGTACTGAAATATTTCAGTTCATATCATTCATATTTATAATTGAAAAGGTATGAGAGACACAGAGAGAGAACATGTTAAACCATGAAATTTGTCTTTGTTCTGCTAACTGCCTGCCTGATGATTCAAATGAGCAAAAGGGAATAAAATATTCAATATTCCTCCTCATTCTAGTTTTTGATAAAAGATAATTGTCTTCTGAAGTGATCGCAAGTTGTTGTGGGAGCTACTTTTCTTTGTCGCTAGAGCTTAGAGCAGTGGTGGGATTCAAATATGTGAACAATCGGTTTTCTGTGTGGATGTTGCTTCCGGAAGTCCATTCTGGGCTTAGGCAACAAAAAATTAGCTACCGGTTCTGCCAAAGTGGTGCGAACCGGCTGAATCCCACCACTGGCTTAGAGTCTAACCCATTTTGAGGCTGATGAGTTAGTTTCAATTAGTAGTACTATTTGGTAGTACTATTACTAAGTAATCCGTGAAAATATATATGATTTATTTACTTAACAGCTGAAGAAAACCTTTTCAGATTTCCTCTTTGAGATTGTCTTGAGTGGAGTGCCTTGAATGGAGTGCCCTTGGTATGATGTCTTCACTGACACTGTTGATGGTCTCTTTAGTCCTGATGACATCCAATTTTTATATCTGAAGTTTTTTGCCAGAAACCTCCGTTTACTTCCTGTTTCCAGCAAAAAATGCCTATTAAAGAGAATGGATTTGCTTAACAACCACAATGTTTGCTAAATGACCACAACAAAAAAGCTTGTAAAATTGGGCATGGTCTACAGCACGGGCATCAAACTGTCAGCCGGTGGAAGCCGCACCCACCCCATTGCTGGCAATGGCAAAATAGTGCCAATACGTTGCGCGACGTCATGTGACATCGCGAGTTTGACATGTCTGGTCTACGGGGATCTGCTTAACAATCAACATGACTTACAACCATAAATTTGGGCTGAATTGCAGTTGTAAGTCAAGCAGTAATTGTATTAGACAGAAATGGATGTCTTTTTTTTAATTTTGTATTTTAACTTTGGAAATAAATAAAAATTACAAAAACTGCATGTTTTTTTCCTCTGTTCTTTTCTGCTGCAGTACCTAGAAGAAGAATATCGTAAAGGAGCTAGAGAAGATGATCCCATGCCTCCTGTACAACCTTATCATTATGGATCTCATTACTCAAATAGCGGAACAGTTCTTCACTTTCTGGTTAGAATGCCGCCCTTCACAAAGATGTTTTTAGCTTATCAAGGTACATTTTCCTAAGTTTTTATTATTTAAATATTTTTAATTTCCTAGCTTTGAATGGGCAATAGACACAACACAGAACCAACAGACTATTACAAATATTTATTTTAATTGTTTTGTTTTACAATCCTTAGAAATAGAAGTGCTGAAATGTGTCCTGTATGTCTGCACCAGTAAAAGTGTATGCACATAAATTAAATACAGAGAATTAAATGTATTCACTGGTGATCACCAAAAGTTAAGTGTGATATATTAATTTCTAATTAATTTAATATGGTTTCATTTTCAGATCAGAGTTTTGATATTCCAGACAGAACTTTCCATTCTACTAACACAACCTGGCGTCTTTCATCATACGAATCTATGACTGATGTAAAGGAACTCATCCCAGAATTTTTTTATCTTCCTGAGTTTTTAGTTAACAGGGAAGGTATGCTTTAAAAAGACATTGCCGTATTTTTTATAATCCATCCAGCATTCAATAATACTGAATGCTGCAATTGTTGAACTTTAGGCCCTCATTTGGTAGATTGCAGATGTAATGGGCAAGAAAAAAAAATACTTTATTCCAGTTGGCTCATGTGAGGGTGGTGAAAAGAAAAAGTGGAGATGGACATGTTTCATTTGGGAATCAGGTCTGGGTATAGGATGGAAACTACACTGGTTGCATTAGTTTGTTTGTTTATTTCCTGCCCTTATTATTTTTACAACTAACTCAAGGTGAACATATCCAGCACACCTCTTCTTTTTCTTATTTTTTCTACAACTCTGTAAGATAAGTTGGGCTGAGAGAGAATGACTGGCCTAAAGTCACCCAACTGACTTTCATGGCTAAACTGGGACTAGAGTTCATGGTCTCCTGCTTTCTAGCCTGGTGCCTTAATCCTTCCTTCTTTCCTTCCTTCCTTCCTTCCTTCCTTCCTTCCTCCCTTCCCTTCCCTTCCCTTCCTTCCATCCTTCCTTCCATCCATCCATCCATCCATCCATCCATCCATCCACCCATCCATTCCTTCAGTAGGTGTTTCTAATCAGGAGTTGTAGGTAAGAAGAGATTAGCTCAGATTAACTCAGAGTGTTGCAGAGCTTGGTTCTCTCCACCCTACTTTTTAATCTTAGTTACTGAAACAGGTCATTAATTAGTGAAGGGTGCAGTATCTTGTATATTGCCACCCACACAATGTAGTTAGCATCTTGTTTCAGCGCCTGGAGGCTATGCTTGGGAAGTAACAAACTGAAGTTGAATCAAAGCAAGATGAAGTGTTGTTCGTTCACAAGGTTCTCTGGTAGCTCTGGTCTTATCTTTCAAGGAGTAGGTACTACCCTCCAGGAAAGCAGATCCATGAATCAGGAGTCCTTCTAGACTCAACTACAGCTGAAAGGAAAAGTGAGGATTATGACCCAAAGAGCTTTTACCCAGTTCCAACTAGTGTACCTATTTCTGTTCTATATGAAGTGGAACATTCACTCATAGTTCCCCACTACCATGAAGGGATTGAGGCCAGAGGGAGGGGCTTCTCTAAAATGTTCTCCATATTATACCCCCCTGAATAAAAATGGTTCCAATGTTGCTTCCCTTCTGGAAGTAAGCTAAGACTAAACTTCTCTGGTGAGATGCCAGTATTTATATTGCTCCAATTAGTTGATTTTCATTTTTTATAATATTGTTATTATGCCATTATTGTTTAACTGTTTTCTGTATACTGCTGGGAATCATATGATTGCAGTGATCCAGAAATCTAAAAAAAAATAAAATAAAACAATGGATCTTCAACTGTCGGTAAACAAAACATATATCTCAACTGTTGTGTAAAAATTATTATTATTATTATTATTATTTATTTATTGAATTTATATACCGCCCTATCTCCCTTACGGGACTCAGGGCGGTGAACAGGCGATAATAAAAACCATGATAAATATACGCAGATTTCTGTTCTAAAATCAAATTAAATAACAGGCCTGCTCTAAAAATACCCCATACAAAACCCCCACTAAAACATAATCAAACTATGCCAGGCCGACCGCACGGAATAGGTGGGCCTTCAGGGCTCGGCGAAAAAGGCGCAGGTCCGCAACTGTACGTAGGTCGGGGGGTAGGTCATTCCAGAGGGCAGGAGCTGCCACAGAGAAGGCTCTCCCCCTGGGGGTCGCCAGCCGGCATTGTCTGGCCGACGGCACCCTAAGGAGGCCCTCTCTGTGGGAGCGGACTGGTCGAAGGGAGGTGTTTGGTAGGA